ATTCCCATGCAAAGCTACCAACCAGCATTTCATCTGGCTTCCCTGACAATTTGCCCGTACCCATATTTTATTTTCCAGCTGTGCTTTGTAGAGTACAAAATAACACGCAAGATGAATACAAATATCGCGCAACATTTGTACTCCAGAAATATCCACAAAATCTGCCTGCACTTTTAGTAACAATTTGGTGTGTTGGATAACAAATATCTTATTAGAAGTTTTTTTGTGTAGTATTGCTGACTATTTTTACTTGTTGTTTGTATTTTGACTCTCCCTACCGGCTTGTCCCAAGTACAGCACAACTCGTAAAAATACTCAGTGATACTACACAACAAAACACCTAATGAGATGTATTTATTATTCAACTACACTTTGTAGAGTATGAAGTACTAATATCACATGGTATTTGTACTCTAGAGAACAGGTTAGACAGGTTTTCTTGCATTGCACAAGCAACAAATTGGATTGAAGTTACAAAAACAAAATGGAGGACAGTTTAAATCATATTTTTGACGATGAAGAGTCGGAATGGCTGGTGAATATTGATCTAAGTTTATAAGATGAATTGAACAAAGACTTACCCAATCTGTGACACATTGCAGAGGAGTTGAGTGATACCCTGCAAACATTGCTGGATTGTTCAAAATTCCTCTGGCAGCCATTACACCTGCAGTAGAGCAATATATACTCAACAACAATTGCATGTATAATGTAAAGGAATATCCCAAGTTGCAATGGCATATAAAACCTTTAATCCATGAGTGATTGGCATGATTGGCATCTACACTGCAATTTTTCCTTACAATATCACATCTGAATCAAACATTAGGTTCATNTCATAATGTTTGATCATCATAACACAAGTATTGTGACTCTCTCCTTAATTAGTCACTCTTGTAATGATTCCTAATCACAAACTTCTGTTGCAGCTATAATTTATTACTGATAGTAACTTTAACAAGAAATCCATCCTATACATTACAATTGGTAATTTTACAGCTAGTACCACTTTTATTGCCTCCCAGTTTGCTGGTTCCCCTCTCTGTCTTGTTGTTCTTCCATGAACTGTTATCCATGCCACCCCTGCCTTTTCAGCTTGCTGACAGAGCTGCACTGTTTTACTGTCATAAGAAATATTATAGAAAAATTCACGGCCTGACTAGTGAATTTTGCATTAAATTTTCACAATAGCAACAAGTTTTTTGCTCGTGACTTGCGTCAGCAATATCCCATCATGCACAAGTGCAATTCCATGTTAATTACCCTCCCTTTGATAGCCAATCAGACTGCAAGTTTACCTCTAGCTATGCAATTCTATCCTTTATTGTGTTGTTTATAACAATTTACATTCAAGATCTTTGAAAACATAATTTGAAATTAGGGTTTGCCATACCACACATGTTGTACTATATGCATTAAATTTCTTTCTATCTGCTGAACCATATTGGAAACATTTCTGTTGCTTGGTTGTAGAAATACAGGTTTAATCCTAACCAGATCCATACTCATTTGTTTTAATTTCCATTACTTTTCCCCAGCTTACAAGAAACAAATTTTCATTTGTAGCACCTAATCTATCCATATAATCTTTTATTATTGAAAAGTTTGTTCCCAAGTCAGACCCTACCTTAAATCATCATGGATTCTAATTTTGATTGACACAGGGAATCCAGGAACTCGTGCCACAGTCTGCCTCACAATGTCTTTTATTAACCCTGGTGTTCTGATCAGTTTTGCACCATATCCCTCTTGCATGGCCCACCTGGAAGACACAAAATCTTAACCATCTATGATCATTTAATGTGTAGACCCAGTTGATCCAATATCAAATTCTCCAAACAAACTTTAGAAGAATTGTATGGCAGTCAGTAGGGAGAATTGCTGATGAGATCTTGGGAGAGAAAGTGTTCACAGTTAGTGCTCTGCATTTGGGGTCCAGAGACTGGGTTCAAGATGTTACTTGCTAGGTTATGGTGTTGCGTTCCTGTGCAGGACAATTTACTCTCACAGTGCCACTTTGCACCCATGAGAATAAATTGGTACAAGCGTTAATTTATAAACTTGACACTTCTTCAAACGAAATAATTGACTAATTCTATAGCCTAATTATAGTGAAATAGAAAATGCTTGCAACTCAGAAAAATTATTTAATAGTATATATGCAGCTTGATAATGAAGCAAACTGATAAATCAAGCTAAAATCAATAACATTATATTCTTTAAAAAAAAAAAGTACATTCAATTTGTTAACTAGTAACAAAATGATACCCAGCATGACTGTTAGTGATGCAATTCTACAAAAGTGAGTATTGTCAGGAAAAGCTGATAAAATGCCTGGGTGATGGACTGACATCCCATCCAGGGAGTGTACCAATGTTCCTTGTCAGTTCATGCTACAGAAACTGGGACAAGCTCCAACTGAATGGGCCACTTGGGCCAAGTGGAGACTATGATTATTTTGGGGAATTAGTTGTATCTGTTGTCTATCTGATTTGATTTGATTTTGTACATATACCAGTTGATAACTTTAATGATTAGTTACCTTTGAGGGCAGCCACAATTGAGATCAACACCATCAGAAAACCTAAACCAGAAAAAAAAAATAAAAATAAAAGTGTCACTAATATAAGCAGGATAAAGGGCCAACTTTGCCTTTGTCCTAATTTCTAAAGAAATAATAAAAAAAAAAAAAAGAGGAAAAGGTGTCAGAGCTAATTCAACCAAACGCACAACCAACTACAGTAAAACATAAAACAAAACAAAACAAAAATTGCATTAGAGTAGATTCCTTAACTCACGGTGCTATAATTTCAGCAGCATCAGCAAAATCCTTTGGGTTGCTTGCTGCAAACTGAACTATCAAGGGGCGATCAGCTGCAAAAAAAAAAAAAGTGAGAGCAACTCAAAAATAAAGTAACAACAGAGATATGAATAAGGGGGGAGGGGGTATAGAAACTGTGCTGCTACTCAGTGGGGGGTTATAAAATGATAACTTTATCAACTGAGTTGATTATACAAATGGGCCACTGTAAATAGTTGGCCAATTCACAAGATCAACTCAGTTGATAAAACCAAATTATCTAATATTATAATTTCCAGCCGTTTACTTGCGGGTTATGTGACAATTTTGAAACCTACTGGTAGTTAAATTGAAAAAAAATTCTCACCTACCTGCATTTCCACCTCTCAAATAAATTTTAATGTATTAAGGGTGTCACAAAGTGGCACGAAAACATGATACCGACTTGAGTTTATTTGCAGTGAATGGCTTGAACCCGGGGGTAACATGTGAAGGTGTAGTCTGATCGTCCGGGTGAGCGTAGTCCTGAGAAGGACTGTTGTCGGTAATAGTGATTGACGTTTCGACAACCTGTGCGGAAGTCATCATCAGAGTCNCAAAATGTGGCCACAAATTCGCATTCTGTTGAGTATAAAACACTGTGAATTCTAAGGCCTTTATGTATAAATTTTCTTTGCTTTTAAGGTGCAGGTTATCCACCAGTGTGGGTAATCTGCTGACTTTTTTTTTTTCGCCGTATGCATTAGTCAGCCGGTGCAGGTAATTGGCCATGCAGGTAATCGGCCGTGTGGGTAAACAGCCAGAAATTACGGTAAAAGAGAAAGACTGTTAAAATCTGTTTTCATATTTTAACCTTTTAACCCCTTAAGAGTGACTAACATCAAATTTCTCTTTACATTATCACCTGTGAATCAAACATCAAAGTCGAGAAAATGAAGGAAATGATCACACTGTAACAAATACTCATGATTGTTGAAGAAATTCTCCTTGTCATTTCAATACGAAATGTATGGAGAACAGTAAGGAGAATAGAAAAACTGATGTCAAAGTGTTAAGGGTTAAAAATCAAGTTGCACGATCGTTTTTTCACTTCCTCTTCACCTGGATTAGTGGTAAATTCCATGTCCCTGGCTTTCACTGATTTTACAAAAGAATCAGAGACTATCATCGGAGTGTATGCCAAGTCACAACCATATCTATGTTAAATAATAGAACAAAATTCTTAACGTCATCTCCTCACAATCGATTGAAAACCATAAACCACAAAATAGGATAAAAATGATAAAGATTGTCTTACCTTCTGACGAGAGTTCTAAAAGACAGCCTAAAATGGCAAAATGAAATAATACAAAATGGAGTGATAAAATATGAATTCTTACGATGGGTTTGAGGATAACTTAGAGTGAGTTAAATCCATTTTACGTGAAACTGTTAAATGACTTATGATGTCTAGCCAAACCAGTAAGACAATTATGCAAATCCATTTGCCAATGAAAGAAAAAATTCGGGAATGTATATCATGAGTCCTCTCCTACTGGACTAGACTGTAAAGTGACCACGACTTACTTTGAATATCTAACCATTGGTGCACATATGCGCACTATTTTTTTCTCCTCGAAGAGTTATAAAGGCTTCTTAAAAGTTAATTCACTGTCTTCTTCGCTTTCATCGTCGTCTGCGTCCGCCATGATGAACGTTACCCAGCATGCTACTCGAAACCGAGAGAAACACTAAAAACGAGGAGATCTGGGTACTAGTGTGCGCATCTCCGCTCGGCTTTCTTCGAATCGACGCT